TAAATTAAATCGTGTTATCGTGTTATCCAACAGTTTTCAACAATTTTGTTTATTTTTATATGTTAAGATTTTGCAAGTTTTAGTCTGCGATCTTGAAAGTTGTGCTATGTCCAGAAACATGAAAAATCAACATGATTTTTCTTTATTTGTGAACGAAAAATGAGTCTTAAAATTTCCGAAAATCGTAGCTAAATATTTGGCATGTTTTTTAGTATGGATCTTTAATGATTTTTCTATGGCAGGAGTTTTCTTATATTTTATCGATTTTAGATCGAATAAATTTTCTAGTCCCACAATATTGGAAGCTTTTTCTAGATTTTTATATTTTTTTATATTCCAGAATCTGTTAATCATTTTTTTTGCAACATTATACATTTCCCAATAGATTTGAGCTTAGCTTAACTTACACTAACTGCAAATATCAATGGTTGCTAGTCCGTGATTGATCAGAATCAGTGAATTTGATTCAACTGAATGAAGCTGGGAGTTACCGTCAATTCTCACAATACAAGTTTCAGTGACTCCATATATTAAAGATCAATAACGGCACCTGCCACGTCCTTGCAATCAGGTGAGAGTGACGAAATATTAGAATGACCTTTGTTGTTTTGGGAACCATATTTACCTCTAAGATCCCACAAAGGTCGCAGGAGCAGAAATTTTACTGGTAGGTAGGATCCGTTGTATCAGGATTTACTTAGATAAGTGATGTGATCATGGTTTTGATATAATGTATTGATTTTTATAAATTCATATGAACAATATTTGATGCGAATAATGCGGACCTAAAAACTCAGTAATGTAAAGGGACCTGGAATAAAACCCACAATCTTCGATCACGAGTCTCTTACCTGGTAATCAGGCGACAAGAAGCAATTCAAATGGAATGATGTCCTTGGCAGAACCCATGTATGTTTTCGAAGCCGTATCTAGCATTCGTCATACTTTATCGAGAACCCATTTTTTTTCGAGCTGATACGACCGTGTTTTATCACAAGTAATTATCTACGTTCGCTTCTCCAAAAAATCTATGATATATATGGCCTGGGAATTAACAAACAATCGTCTGCTCATTAAGCAAAAACGGTCACCACTTGGTCATCGAGCTTCTTACATAACAACATATCATTACAAAGAACGGTGTTACCAAGCCAGGAGCGGCGGGTTCGATTCCTGTTTTGAAATGGATGATACATGGACTAGCATAACAGTCACATCTTTGCTTGACCTCCTATTCTATTGGGACTGTTATGTGTTTATGGGTAACGTATATATCATAATTTGAATTTGAACTTCGACTTTCTGTAAATTCACTTGTACGAAAATTTTGGTTTATTTGTAAAAAAATTATTGTAAATTTTTTAAAAAGGCCTGAAAACTGTAATAAAAGCAGAAAATTAAAAAAAATCTGATTAACTGTAATGCAACAGCTACCTTTTAATATTTTATGTGAATTTTTTTTTCGAGTAATATTAAAATACGATAATTTACACTTCTAATGTTTTAAACTTATTTTCTATTTTTTTTTCACCGGATTTAAACCAATAAAGGTATTATGATGAAAATGTGGTAATAGTTCATTCTAATATCGTTTAATTTTGTATTAAGCCTCAGTTCAGGTTGCACGCTTTGAAAATTAGATCAGCGAGCGCTTTATTTGAATGAATGTTTACGTTAACTTGTATGTATTGCTCGTTTGCACCAAAGTAGGCTCTTGCACTATAAATAATCCCTCATAAAAATATAAATTCATTAGGCGGGTGTTAGCGGCGCCAGTGGATACTTCGTAACTTCCTCAAAATTGTCATTTGTTCTACTTTCTATTTACAATTTTTACACTATCGTACTCTACCGGAACTATGAACTCTATACTCTCATCTACCGTATACAATGCCCACTTTTAGTCTGATATTAGTCGTTAACCATCTCAAACTTTGTAAACTCAATAGAGATCCGGAGATGAACCAGCGTCTGGCTGAAAATCTCCTTAATAAAGACAACCAACCAACCAACTCAATAGAAAGTTTTCACAGCTTGTAATGAAATTGATCATTTTTTTTTCACTAATTTCAACGAAAAGTTGAAACAGCTTTAGTATGCACCGGTCATAATTTTTCAATTTTTATTTTCATTGAAATTTGCCAACATTTTAAGGAAATTCGTCATACTTTCAAACAAAAGTGATCATAATTGCAAAATAAATTGGCCACTGTTTTGTAAAAAAAAAGTTAACAATTTTAAACGAAATCTATCGATCGGAATAAATTAAACCTTTCATCGCAATTTCTTGTTTAAAAATACAAACGGAAAGTCATTTGAACTAATATTTCTGCTACTTTGAATGAAAAAGGTTTACTATTTTTAACAAAACTTGGGCGCAAGTTCGAACGAAAGTTTTCGCAACTTTTGAGCATTGTCAATGAGAATGGGTAATACTTTTAAAAGTTTTAAGTTTTGAACAATAATACTAGAGGTTTTAAACTCATGAATTAAACGTGAGCCAGAAAAGTTATACATGGGCCAACTTTTGGATCGTTATAGTTAAAAATTATGTTTCATAGCTCCACAACCCGATATTTTCGCAAATATTAAAAGCCGTTATCATGTTCAGTAAAATGGGAAGAAATGTGAATAAGAATTAATTTAAATAAACTTACACTTACATTTAATTGAAAACTGCATGTAAATTAAAATAAATGTAGGGAAGATGGGGTAATATATACATTATGGAAAACTTTCTCGGTGGTTTACCATGTAGCATTGCTAGATGAGATGCAGAAGAAGCATTGATTTTTAAGTTATCTACGAAAAAGTAGTTGTTTAATAGGATAAAAGGTCATTTTGCACCTGTGATTTTATTTTATCCCAGGAGTCATTCATTATAGAAAATTTTTGTTATTTTATTTTATAACTCTTGGTAGTAATTTTAATACCAAGAGTTAGGTGTCCCACAATTGGTAAAAACGGTCGCTGATGCAAATTCGGAAATTTTCGCTCCACAATGCACTAACGGTTCCAAATCGGGCAACTCAGAACATCTTGTTCATTGCCTTCTAGCCGTTATATATATAGCTCCGAGAAAAAAAAGTGATAGTTATTCTAAATTTTCACCCGTTACAACTTTCCTGGTACCGTAAGAGGGGGTAACATTAGAAAAAAAATTTAAAAAAATCGTTTCCTACCTTACAGCATTCACATTTTAGCATATCTACGACTGTCATGGAAATGATTGTTTGAAATTTGAGGATGACATTGGGCCAAAACATAAATTTGGGTAAAATATCTTAAAATATGTAAATGTAACGTAGCTATTATAAGTACTTACACTTGGTTATGATCACTAACACTCGTCTTTTGAAATAAAAGTGTGTTCAATCTTTTGTTTTCCTGTAGACATTGTTAATAACGTGTTTTTGCTACTATTTATGACACATAACTTTACAGCACTATTCAAATAAAACAACTGGTTAATGTTATCTTAAATATACTCCAGAAGTTCAAGAAACATATTGTAGTCGTCATTTTCTGTGTGTTCAAGATATTTGTATCAATGAAAAAAAAAAAATCAATTTTGGCCCCATTGTCACTCCGTCGTACGGCTTTGTCGGTCTAATATTATGCCTTCCCTGTACGGCCAGTTTGTTTTATATATAAATAGCTAAACAAACCTTGAAAAGCGATAAAATGGTTATGATACACGAACTAGCTTAACAATCAAAAATAGCTCAGAACGCCAAAACGATCTAATAACGCCAGAATGGCCCAAAACTTCAGCATGGCATGAAAAAACCAAAACGCTCAACTACTACGTACACACTTAGAAATTATTATTTTTACACGAGACGTAATTCAGCTTTGACGTAAATCATGGAACGTAAACAAACATGGCATGTAAAATTAAGTGTCCTGAAACTGAAACATATGCAACTCGATGAAAAGTGCGTTTGATTGAATTGATTTGCTCGTCCTTTTCAACTGATTCTTATGTCAAAAGGGCCGCTTGCATGTGTCGGTCTCAGGGCACTGAAATTTACATGTCTTTTTCGAAGTGTGTAGCTATTCAGATTTTTTCTCCTGCCCATGCTTTTTATAACTAGTGGAGCATCGAGTAAGCATCAAACTTCTTTTAGAATCTTGTTTAGAAGCTTTTAAAAGCAGCTAATTCTACACGCAAAACCTGGCATGTACAAAGCATGTAAGCATTAATTTCTTACATCCTCTGTAAATGTTTCTTACGATAAATGTAATGGTAGTTCTTACAATAGCCTGTTGTGAACAATCAACTTTTTCAAGAATCAATTTTTTGTAGGTTTTATGCTTTGGTAATGTAGATACTTCATGACATTAGCTAGGATTAATTTTAAACAATTATTTGAAAAGTTTTTCGACGACCACATTATACATAATCTGTTCAAGTCGCGATTTATTGCAGATTCTGCACATCTATTATGCAAAACTGTATGGGGTGATACATTTATTGTGTCACGCCCTAAGGCGGGAGGGGAAGATGATTATGTGACCAATCACCGACGGACGTCGATTGCTATCCATTGACGGCAATCGAATAGCTAGGGAGGCAGCTTCCACACCTGGGTAGATATCGCACCCATAAACCACATGGACCGGGACTAAGGAAGATGTGACCAAAGATTATTATGCCTCAGAAAAATCCCACCAACTTCCGGATACTTATATCGAAAACGAATACCTCATTACTTTTCCACAGTAGTGAGGTACTATGATATGCACTATACAAAATGCACGAGCATATAATAAAAGATCAATGTTGTTCGCAGCTATTATGACCCGTACAATGGGGGATAAAAAAAAAAGATGTTTGAACTCCCCTAACCCATCTAAGGACAACCCGTGACCCATAGATTGAGAAACTCTGATGTGAACATAACTTAGTAATAATTGGACAGTGATGTGAAAGACATTTTCTCAGACCTTTAACGGTTAACGATGAAGCCCTGAAAACTATACATCCAAATACTTACCAAACAAACACCGTCCCTGAGTTCTGCTTGTCCGTGCAGCTTTAACAGAGCGATATCGTTATCGAGAGTTTGACTGTTGTGGTTGTGATGAATATAGGTGGTTGCGACTCGTAACGTCTGTGCTCCCGGGCTGCCGAACTTGCGCGTCAAATCATAATCACCTACCCGGACATATATTGCATCACCAGACCGCACGATGCTAAAATGTTACAAGCTCGGTCGACCAACATCCATCTATAGCATATTACTCATACTTACTTGGTGACGCAGTGCGCGGCTGTGAGGACCCATTGTGTGCCGATTAGCGCCGCACCGCACAGATATTGATTCAGCGAGTTAATCAGCGCGACTTGCCAGCACCACTCGCCATTGTCGCCATCCTCTCCACCGACAACGCGGCCTTTGCGATGACTGTTCCAATATTTGTTCGTGGTTGAGTTCGTCCTAGAAATACTAGGATGATGAATCAGGTCTTCCGGAACTGTATCGTTGTGATCATGATAAATAATAGGAATGGGCACGATGCTGTGGCCAAGAACCAACCGCTCGGTGCCTTTCGATCGATATATGTTCTCTAGTTCAATGTGACGACCAGTACGGCTTCTGCTGGAGGAAGAGTGTGCTAAATCAATTCGGCTGAGGAACGATCGGGCTCCTCGGCTCGTTCCTTTTACTCCACATACATATTTGGAGTACACTTGAGGCCTTGCGGTCGTTGTTGTTGGTAGTGGCTCATAAATAGGTTGAGAGAGTTGATGAACTGGTGGTTGTGTTTGTGGGATTTCGTAAATATTATTGCTAACTGGTCCTGGATAGCTGTTCATCACTGGAGGTCCATACCCTGGTTGTGGTTGTGGTTGCTGTACTGGCGGTAAAGGTTGAGGTGGTGCTGGATATGGCTGTGCCATATTCGGAGGTGGTGGTGGAGGCGGATAAGTGGTGTCGTTTGGCTTGATTTTGCCTGCCGCCATTTGTACTTCCTGGATTTTAGACTTTGGAGCGCAGCACTGCGTTCCTGATTTTTTACATTTGAATAAATCGGTCATTTCGGCATTCCGGAAACACGTGAAGCTCAGTAAACCTACGATGCATGAACCTGGACATTCTTCTCTCGGATCGGGAGCTGCAGTCGTAGTAGGAGCCTGTGTGGTCGTTGTTGTAGGTGGCGGTGGTGGCCGTTTAGGCGCTGGTCTGGTGACCGGGGCCTTCGTGTTATCACAACAAATCGATCCTCGCTTGCAGTTTGCAGTGTTTGGAATGATCTCCGATGGTCGTTCACAGAACGCTGCCATGATGTTGAGCATACAGAACCCTGGACATCTTCGCAGTGGAGGCTAAAATATATGTTACATAATTAGACATTATTCAAATTTTCACAAATTTTTTACATTATCTTACAGGTGTATTTGGTCGTCTGGTTGTGGTAACGATTTCATGTTTCGTATCGTCAGCTGTTCCAGTTACGCAACAGGATCCTTCGTTAGGACAAAATGCTTCACTATCGACATCGTCACAAAACAGTGCGAATAACCCATTTACGCATTCTCCTTCGCATGACTTGTGAACTGTTCCTTGCTGATTTGTTTGTTGCGCTGTTTTAAGCTTTGGAGGTGTTGGTTTTGTTGGCTTCGGTGCTGGGTTAGTCTTTGATTTCAAAGGCTCCTCATGTGTTACTTTTTCTGTAGTTTTTGGGTACGGTTTTGGAGTTGTAGTTTTATTTTTATTGCTATCAAAATGCGCCGTAGGAACATATAAATCAGCGGGTGGCTTATCGGGATAAATGTCTCTCGAAACACAACATTTAGTACCGCTTTTGCAGAGCCCGGGAGTCATAAGATACGCTTCACAATATTCTGCGATTCTATCGGCTACACAAACTCCTGGGCATGTTGCTGAAATACAATGTGATTAAGTTTGACCAACAATCGTTTTCTCAATGCATGAGTTGTAATCACCTACAATTGTTTTTACTATCCTTATCCTTTTCCTTAATTTTGCTCTCTGTTGTGGGTTTTGGAGTTGTGGTCGTTGGCCTTGTCGTCGTTGTGGGCCTGGGTCGGGCAGTGGTGGTAGTGGATATATTAGCTGCTGCGGCTTGACTTTCAACGCAGCACCTCATGCTAGGGGACGGACAGGGAATATCTTCCAACACTTCGTAGCAGATTAACGTTGCTAGAGTATGCACACATACTCCAGGACATCCTTTTGCATCCTCTGTGCTGGTTATTGAATCCAGTAGCCCTTTCATAAATATAAGAAGATATTTACACATTAGTTAACGATGTAAGTTCTATAATTATTTCTGATTTACGCGATTTTAATTTTTTTTTCGGTTTTGTCCTCATGCAGGATGGGTAAAAAACGTTTAATATCATACAATTTTTCTTGGACTTTTTTTTGTGATTGTTTGAATCAAGAAGCATTAAATTTGGATTCAATTTGCAATAATATAAAAACATACTTGAGTGTATTAGCATCAAATTCGTGCAAATGAGGCAGCCACTGCATAACGCTTAATTATAATTTATGTGTAGAAAAATACAGTAATATAATTATAACCAAATAATGTTACGGATTGAAATTTCAGCCGGATACACGGGCGTTGAAGCTGACTCATATTTGAGTTATGTTTACTCAAATTCGCAAAACACGTATACGTTTTTGTAAATTTCAGCAAACGGTACACAAATATGAGTCAGATTCAACGGCCGTGTAAATAAATCAATTTAGTACAAACTATCACTTCTTTTTCCTGGTTATATTGCGCATTGCGCTCATTATAAGTGAGACCATAAATGCGGAAACGCTTATCAAAGTGCGGTTTTCAGTTAAGTTATGTTGGTGTCTTCAGTGCACATACACGGGAAGAAATCCAATCTCCGAAATTAAGTGAATGATTCATGATGTTATGAAAATACACGGTAAATCATATTCATTATATCATGAGCTATTTTTGCGTAACGTATCCAAGATTCCCGAAATCACGAATCATCCGAGTTGAAATCATAAATTAAATTAATGAATTTAGCTTTCAGTGTTTAAACCTTAAAGATGCAAAAAATAAAATATTACTTCAGACTAGATTCGACCAAGAACCTCGGGATCATTAATCTCATATTTTGACCACTAAACTATCATCACTTCTATAACTAGGAAGGCAAAAGCCTATAAGAGCTACTTATGTAGTGCGTTTTATGAGCACGGTTTTCCAGGTACGTATAACGCTTGTAGCGGTAAAGATTCCGCTGCATTACGATATCATGAACTTCGATCATGAAATCATGAATCATTGTCATGATTTCATGGGATGGCAATTTTTTTATTTCATGATTGTTTATTCATGAATATGGAAACGGGTTTGAAACGGAAAGCGAATGCGAATGCGGATAAAAATGAAAATGGATTTGTTTCCGTGTTGGTTCACAAGGAATAAGTGCGCAGAAGAAACAAAGACGGCACAACGTAAAAGCGCACTTTTATTAGATATTCTGCACTCAAATGCAAAATACAACTATAACCGTCCCGAATGGAACTTCAGTGTATGCCCAGAAGTACATAGTAGAGCATAACTGGACTAGTAGGATCAATTTCTCAAGCTTTTCTAACGTATTGCAAGGTTATAATATCACTAGAATAATCATCGATCATATTTGGTAGGATGTCATACTAGAATGGTCCAAATTTATAAGGGAGAATTTTCTTTCAACTTTTTCAAAGAGCCAACTCACGGATTTATTCCTTTTGGTAAGAAACCTTTCTCTGAAAGTTTCCACTTATTTGGTCGTAACACGAGCTGGCGCTTTTAGTTTAAAGATTTTATGGGGATTTTCGATTAAATGCATGAAGAAATGACACTCCTTCACTTTTTCGTTCAACTAGATCTGTATACTCAATTATGAACTTTAATTTGTTTTTGGGCAATTAAGTAAATACGTTGCATAAACTGCCTCTATTTTGATGAAATATACGAACAAATGCTTCAGCAAAGTTGTTACTCAATGTTTGAGCTACAAGTTTTGAAAATTTGAGTTAAATCTAGAAAAAAGAATCATCAAAGATCGGAAGAGTTAAGGGATGTCATATGTTCACGGATTTTTATCTAAATCCGTTTATAAAATTCAAGACGATAACATATTTTGCTGTTTTATTTAAGCATTCTGCTAACAACCCAATTTCATTACTTCATGTTGCAGTTTTATTTGTAATGCGTTAATGCGTTATTTTTAAGTATTGACATACAAAATAAAAGTTTATTTTTCAGATTTATGAGGTAAATTAATCTACAGAGAGTTACTTTTCCAGTACGAAAAGCACAAATGTAATATGCAAATTTTATTCACTGGGGTTTATAGCAGTGATTCCGTGGTCTCTTTAAGGTTACAAGTGAGAGCTATTGAAAATGGCTTGTGGGACTATGTGGAGCAAGTTTGGGTGGCCGTAGAACTGAGTGATCGCACACTGTACCCATGTGCAGTGTATATTGCACCAGACCGGGTTCGTGACAACAAACTTAACGATACCCGTTGCCGGTCCGTTTTCACCATAATGGAGAGTGCGACACCAATTAATGAGATAATCGTTTTGAGTGACTTCAATCTAGCTGGCGTTTCCTGGAAACCATCTCACAGCAGTATTCTCTACCCATACCCTGTACGCTCTGTATTTCATACAGGATTAGTTAGCCTTCTCGACTGCTATAGTACAGCAACGCTATCTAAAATAAACCACGTATTCAACGAGAACAACCGTACCTTGGACCTCTGTTTCGTGAGCGTTCAGGACACTGCTCCATTGATCTCCACGGCACCTTCTCCACTAGTAAAGCAAGTACATCATCACCCTCCCTTGGTTGTCACTGTTGATGACAATCACGATCGGGTCTTTGACGACATTTCCACGACCGTGCCGGTATACGATTTCCGGAAAGCCGATCACCGTAGTATCGTCAACATGCTATCTAGTATAGATTGGGAGAGCATCCTCGATCCTGATAACGTTGAAACCGCTGCGCGAACATTTTCACATGTCTTGGCTTATGTCATTAACAGACACGTTCCGAAAAGATTTCACCGTAAAATTTCTCATCCTTCCATACGAGTGAACTTCGGGGCTGTTCATAAACTACGTAGACAGTTTTTTGGGATTATTGACCCCCCTCCCCCTGCATAGACAATTGTCCATACAAAAATTTTAAAATTTGTATGGGTTGTGGATAATTGTCAAACCCTCCCACCCTAAACTGTCAACGTAGTTTATATCACCAGTGGGTTCATTACTTCGCAACGGGTGAGGAGCCTAAGAGATAACTCTGAAAAACGGACGGATAGTGGCAACATGCCCGCCAGCACTTCGAGACTCATAGTATGAGTCGAGTGCATGCATCCTAACGCGATACGAAGACAACGATACTGGATCCGTTCCAGCTTGATGATGTGCGTTTTAGCTGCCGACTGGAAACAAAAACTACCATATTCTATAACCGATAAAATCGTTGTCCGGTACAACGTCAGAAGATCTTGTGGATGGGCTCCCCACCACGTTCCGGTAATTGATCGAAGGAAATTGATCCTTAGTTGGCATTTTCGTCTCAGATACTCAATGTGGGATCTCCAGGTGCATTTGGAATCGAACCAGACCCCGAGCCCAGACAACCAGAATGCACGTATATTCAAAGTTGTTTCTATGATATACAAACATATATAAAAACAATCAAATCGTATTCAATGCAAACAAAGGGCTTATACCTACAAAAGTGGAGGCCATATACGTGCAAATTTTAAATTCATATTAAACGAAATGATTTGTCATCATACTGTTATTTGTACATTGTACTGTACATTGTTATACGACTTCTGGTTGTCTGGGAGATATTTAAAAGACATGGAATGAGTGATCGGTTTACCCAAAAGTTGAAGCTTCGGTTGTGCTGGGACGACCAACTCAGTTTTCTCCGTGGAGAATTCGATACCTAGCCGAATAGCCCAAGTAGACAAATTGTCCAGGGTATCCTGTAAGGGTCTTTGCAGGTTAACCTCTTTTGGCCCTGTGATAGACACTACGCCGTCATCTGCAAGTTGTCTCAACGTGCAATTGTCACTAAGACAGACATCAATTTCTCTAACGTAGAAATTGTACAAAAGGGGGCTTAAACATGAGCCTTGGGGGAGACCCATGTAGCTAAATCGAAAAGCTGTAGAGTTTCCATGAGAAAAGCTCATATGTTTTTCTGACAGCAAATTGTACAAAAAATTATTCATTAATGGAGACAATCCACAAGCGTGGAGTTTCTCTGAAAGAACTTCAACGGATACTGAACCAAAAGCCCCCTTGATATCCAAGAACACAGAAGCCATTTGCTCTTTCTTAGCAAAAGCTAACTGAATTTCCGAGGAAAGCAACGCGAGACAGTCGTTCGTTCCCTTACTCCTACGGAAACCAAATTGAGTATCTGAAAGAAGGTGGTTCGTCTCAACCCATTTGTCGAGGCGAAAAAGGATCATTTTCTCCATCAATTTCCGAATACACGACAGCATCGCGATGGGCCGATACGAATTGTGATCCGATGCGGGTTTATCAGGCTTTTTAATGGCTATCACCCTCACTCGTCTCCAATCGTCGGGAACAATATTGAGCTCCAAGAACTGATTGTACAAGTTCAACATGCGCCTCTTAGCGACGTATGGGAGGTTTTTCAGCAAGTTGAACTTGATTCTATCAGATCCCGGGGCAGAATTGCCACACGAAAGGAGAGCGAGTGAAAGTTCGACCATTGAAAAAGGGTGACTGATTTCATCTACCGAATTCGCGGTTTCGCGAGGAATCAACTGCGACGGCACGGAATCCGGACACACTTCATTCCTCGAGCATTCCTCGCTTTCGTTGTTAGTAGACCAGTTACGCATTCTTCGCGCCGCCGTACTCCAAAGCGTATTCATAGACGTTTCGCGCGACAATCCGTCTACAAACTGCCGCCAGTAACCCGGTTTTTTGGCCTTGATGAGGCTCTTGAGTTCGCGTTCAAGAGATGTGTATGCGTCGAAATGCTCACGTGTTCCGCGTTTCCGAAAAAGTTTAAACGCGTCGGACTTTTTACGGTAAACCTCCGTGCATTGTTGATCCCACCAGAGCGATGGTGTTTTCTTACGGATTGACGATCGCGGCACCGGTCGTGTTTGAGCTTGAAGTGCGCTGTCGACGATGAGATTAGAGAGGAAATTATATTCCTCCAACGGCGGAAGCTC